TGAATTTGGTAAATTATTGAGGGGATTTGACTGCAGTTTATTGGCAGAAGTGAGGAAGAAAACAATTACCCCCTCCCTTTTTGGTCCCATCTTTCATTCACTCAGGCCAGGAATGACAGGTGTTTTGTTCCATGTTCTGTCTCTGAATGATAACTGACTCTCTGGGTGGTTATAGTAAGAAAGGATTTTGAGGTTATACTTGGGACAAGAGAATGGGAAGAGTGATTAGTGATGTCTGCCATGAGTTCGGGTGTGGAGGAGGAGATACACCATTTCCTGCTTCAGATCTAGTTTTTCCAATAGAAAGCTCCCACGCAGATTCCAATGCTAGCCTGGCAGTTGTGCAATACTTACAGTGTGCCAGGCTTTACATATCTAATGTCATTCTCAAAGCCACCCATGAGGTAGTTCAAATGAGGGAATGCATAATGTAGAGAGTTTTACAAATGAGGAAAAGTCTCACAGAGGTTAAGTGATATGTAAAGGTCATACGGCCTGGATATGAGACAGGGTCAAGATTACAGAACCTCCTTCCAGAGCTCTGCCTGTCACCCCTAGCCGGTCCCTTCTCTCTCTTGCTAATGTTGCAAATACTGCCACAGGGCTGACGTAAGACTCAATGATCTTATTCCAGAAGAAAATGCAAAATCAATTTATAGAAAAAGTTATCTTTGGGCCTCAGGCTCTGGAATGAAAGATGAGATAGGGACATCTCTTTAGAGCCAGGGAAGATTTCCTCCTTCCTGTCCAGTGTGGAACATTTTCATGAGTACTTCCTTCAGCACTGCAGTCTTCCCAGAGGTGAGGAAATAAGCGGTTGTGAAGGAGGCTCCAATATATAAGGGTGAGACGTTGACTCCCTGCTCTCTAGGCCCCCTGCTGCATCACTGTTTCTGAGTGTCAGTTTTGCATGTTTACCTTTATATGTGGGATGCATATTCTTTTTTTTTTTTTTAAGATACTACAGGACTGCGCAAATGGCTTAGTTATTGAAGTACTTGCCTTGCATGCATAAAGAAGTGAAGGCACTTAGAAAAGCCAGATGTGGTAGTGTGTACTTACATCTCTAGTGCTGGAGAGGCTCTTATAGGTGGATCTCTGGGGCTCACTGGCCGGCCAGCCTAAGCTAATTGGTGTCTTCCAGGCCAGTAAAAGACAATGTCTCAAAAATAAAACAGGTGGCACTTGAGGAATGACAGCTGAGTTTGTCCCCTGGTCTCCACATGTACTCAACACAGATACACCCAGAGGCACGCTTTATGAGACTTCTAAGCAAATCTCAATACAATCAAGTTGACAGTCAAGATTAACTGCATGTCCCCCATCTCTGCTGGCTTCCCGTTACTCTGAGGCTAGCGTCAATACTTCCGGTAGACTTCAAGGACCTGTAAGGACTGGCTACCAAGCCTCTTCTCCCTCCACTACAGGCACTTCTACCTTGATCACTAGAGATACAACAAACATTTGTATTACTGCATGGACAAAGACCAAATCTCCCAGTGAATGGTAAGCTCAGGAGGACAATGGCCACATCCTTCATCTTATCATCTCATGATCCCAGCATGCAGTGACACAGAGGTTTTCAGTATTTGTTAAGCTAATAAATGAAGTAAATGGCATTTAAAAGTCTCTTCAAGCCAAAATGAAAGATGTATCTAATTTGATCCAGTAAATAGACACACACACACATTCGTGCGCGCACGTAAGCACGCAAAACACCCATAGTGCTATATTATTTCATGGATGACAGTCTATAAAATGGATTACTAAACATCATTCTTTAAGTTCACACAAACTAAACTTGGCCAAGGCATCACTAACTTTGCAATGAAATCTTAGACCACCATCAACTATGGTCTACTGTGATTCAAATATTGTTGTGACATATGACCGTATGGATTATATTTGTCTGTGTGCTCTCTCTGCTTCCTTGCTGCCATGATGAGGGCACCCTGTTCCATTTTGCCTTCCCACCCTGACACACTGAGACTCTGAGACTGAGCCAAATGACTCATTCCTCCCTGAAGCTGATTGCTCAGATATTTTTTTTAATTGGCAAAAACAATTTTGATGGACGCGGGAGGGTGCTTGGGAGTTTATGTCATATAATGTAGTTTTCTCATATTGAAAGATAGCTGTGGTTACACTGAGAAGAGTGAATGGGCAAGGGACACAGAAAGGCAGTCACTGGAGGCCAGACAGGGAGGTCAAGGGCACTGAGACGAGGCCAGTTTATACGGTAAAGGGAAGTTAGATAGACTTAGGGACGCAGTACCTGTGGGTGGTACAGGAGCAAGAAGCAAGCCAAGAGGTAGGTGGGGGAAAGGAAGGAATGATGTGGGAGACATGGTGGCTTGTTCCTAAGGCAGTGTGATGCAGGCAGTCAGGTCTGGAACCATCTCCTATGCCACCAAAATGTCACAGAAGACACACCTTCTATTATAAATGTGAGCTTCATCTGGACTATAGATTAACCTTGGCCTGCCCAGAAAACCAATTGCTAAAGGAAAAAGTATACAGAGAAATCTATGGTTTTGTGGGGCTTTAAAATTTGGAGTGTTTTCATCCTAGACAATAAGAATCTAACAGTGACAAAGACAGTACTGAATAAAAAGAAATACCATGCACATTCACTGTTTTCACGTTCCTCTCAATATCCTCATTTCAGTGCATTGTCCTTGTAGTCTACATGAATAAAAATGTTTCCTCCTGCCAGTACTGCAGCTATATTTCTTCATTTCTCTAAGTGGTGCTTCAGATATGTTATTGTCACATCCGTGGAGCCCAGGTAGAGAGGGCATCAACAAGCCAAGAAAGGACTTCATACAAGTCTAGCTTGGTGACCCAGAAAGTCTACTGGATCTACCCACAGTAAAATAGGTTAACTAGATCACTGAGAATCCCACCAACAGCATGGAGGACTCATGAAAAGCTGCCCCACTGAGAGTCTCTTGGTCAACTTTTAGGCAGTGGCACTACTGGAATTCTTCACTAAGTCGGCTTCCCCCTTACATAACCATGGGGAGAAATACCTCTTGAAGATCTCCTGAAGGCTCCTAAGCCATGAAGGAAGGCTAATAAGCCTGGATCCTTGAGGGTAATGTGCTTGTTATCACAGCTACTCTGACTCAATATGGTGATGGTCATGTCCAATCCAGAGGGAACAGCTGCATTTGATAAAGTTGTGAATGTTATTGCTAAGCAGTTTGTGAGGTTTACTTATGACAAGTGGAACTTTACATTCTGTTCTCTATACACTCTTTTTTTTTTAACCACATACATTTTCCCTCAGGTTAAACTATTACAGGTGAGGTTAGTGGGTTAAAGGAAGGAGTTTCTGATTTCTTGGCATAGGTAAAAGTGACATTCCAAGATGGGCTGGAGCTACTCACAAGGCAGAGCCTTGTACTCCATGTGTTTACAAGGATACAGGGAGCTTAACTATATAAACGAACCAGTCAGGGTTATCTGAGACCTTCCATCATGTCTCTATTGATTATGTCCAATAGTGGGTGAGGGTCACTGCAAGCTGCTGAGCCTTCCAGCTGTCTGTCTCTACTCTGGGCTGTTCCCTTCCCTTTTCTCTGATTTTGTTACTTGCAAACCAACAGAAAACCTTGAGATGAACTTATGAAATCTGGTGAACTAAAAGGGGCCTTGCAGACTTGCAGGGTCTACATCACCCAGGCAATGCTGCAAAGGGTGCAAAGAATCCCTGGTTTGGATAAGACCTTAAGGTCTTATGTAACATGGTCCCCATCTCAATCTAGTGTCATACCTCATCACACCTGGCTCAGATAGTTTTGTGGCCCACCAAGATCCTTTGGCACTCACTCAGCTTATATTCTTGTTGCTCTTTCCCAGAGCTTAGTAGACATAGTGTGACCATAAAGACACAAGGAGGCTGAATGTCATGATGTAGCCATCCCTTCTATGTAAATACTCATCTTTGAACATCACCAAGGACATTATCAAATGCGCTCAGATGTAGCGTTCTCCAGAGTTCTCTGCTTGGGGGGGGGTCTTGATAACAAGTATATGTTGGACGCCCTAACCTGGAGGCTCATTATGTCTCTACTTCATACTGGTGGTGGGACTTCAGGGCTGAAGGGTTGCTGATAAACACGGGATGCCTGTGGGTCTCCAGTAGTCCCTGGGTAAGTGCTTGAATCATAGTGGAATGTCATGGCCTCCAGCTGCACTTCTTGCTTAAATACCAACTTTATCAATATGCTGATTGTTGGGCGTCATCAGGAGGAGGCACCCCTCCTCAACCTGGATTTCAGGGATTCCCTTGTTCTCTGGGGTGGTCAGCTTCAGTGGGAACCCTCTAACCAGGGGTCCAGCATTTTTCAGTTTTCCCTACCTGTAAGAACTTGGACCCTGACACATTCATTTATAAAACAACATGCCAGAGTTTTCTGTCTAAGCTGCCTTGTCATCGATTGAAACCTAAGTAAAGGGCTAGGGAGATGGCCCCGTCAGTGGAGTGCTTCCCCTGCAAGCCTGAGTGTCATTCCCAGAACCCTTGTAAGAAGCTGGATTTGGTAGCATGTGCTTTTGATCCCTGTGCTGGGGAGGCAGAGACAGGTGTGATCTCTTGGGCTCCCCGACCAAGCCAGTCTTGCTAAGCTGGTGAGGTCTAGGGCAGTGAGAGGCCCTGCTTCAAAACAAAACAAAGCAGAAACAAAACACAAAAACAAAGTGGATCACAGTTGAAGAATGATATCCAAGGCTAACTTCTGGCCACTGCATATACATGTACCCATATGCATGTCTGCTTCTTCAACCCCATATGTACCCTTGAATGTGTAAACGCAAGTGCGTGTACACACACAGCTCTAAAGAAACCAGGTGATTGAAAGTCTCTTAAAAGGGTAAGCTTTGGTGTGTTCCTAACTCCTGAAGAGAAACAGGCTCACTGACACATTTAATGACATGTGTTAGTATGCATGTCAAACTTTACACTTAAACTTACATTTCTTTCTTTCTTTTTCCAGCCAAACACCATGTCAGTGGCAACAGAACGGTTGAACCTTTCCCAGAGGGAACACAGATGGCTGTATTTGGTAAGATATCAACTCAGAAAGAAAACCCAAATACTGTGCAATGCTTCCTGCCAACTTTCTTAGCTGTAGTAAGTGTCCTCAGGGCTTCAAAATCTGGGCTCTTCTAGATATTTACAAGTCGTTACAGCCAAGAAAACTCTTGAGTTCTTAGTAATTTCTGGGCCCAGGAATACTTTGTAGAATCAGTATGTTTTCTTGTCTAACTTTGACAGCCCAGATTATCATACTGTAAGTTTGCAATTTCTTTCGTCCACAATGTGAATTAACCTAATTAATTGAGGGTTTAAGCTTTTCTTTCTTTTTCACATAGATGTACAACTTTTGTCAAGTTGTTTGGAGTCATTATTGCCACCCCATTCTAACTGGATGGTCTCTTTCTTCTCCGTAAATTGAGCACATCCATTGGTAGAAAATTAAATTAAATTAATTAAAAATATTTCAAGCAGAGCCGAGTCCAGTTTTTGGTTACATACCTAAAAATTACAGTTGTGGTTTTTAAACATTTTTATTTATTGATTCCATTATTTTTGACAAATTCTGAACCATTTAGCAATGTCCACGTTTCCACTGCCATATGTCTATCTCTCACATTGCCTTCCAGATGTCCCTGCTGATGGCAGCTCTTTGCCTTCCTTACCTCCTCTCCTCCTTCCCTTCTTCACACCAGCTCTCTTCTGCCTTTCTTTGCTCCTGTCTCTGGACTCTTCTCTCTAGCACAATGTTCTGAGGTCCTCTCAGGGAAGGCTGCTCTCTTCTCTTGGGACCTTAGTCTGTCCTCATCCACCTCTGCTTACCAGCCATCATGAGATTAGCAGCTCAGCTGTGCCATAGCCTCCACATTATGATGTTGTGCCTCACTAGCATGGGCCAAGCCATCATGATGGGCCAAGCAATCATGGACTCAAGCCATGAGCAATGATGTGTTTTTTGGTTTTTTTTTTTTTTTTTTTTTTTTTTTTTGACACAGTGATGACTAATAAATACCTTGTTGAGAGAGAGGAATGACACAGGCCTGTCCTAACAGGTCTCTTGCAGTGCACTGGGAACTAACACACATTGACCTCAGAGTTGGAAACATCAGGGCATTCCTTGTCTTTTCCTTTCCATATTGCTTTCCAGAGGTTTACTAAGACCTTACCGAGAGACTTCTTAGCTTTCTGTTGAGTGAATCCTGAGACCTTTTTAGGTCTGGGCCCTTTGTTCAGCCTCCTACCTACTCAAGACCTCAGCCTCAAGTGTCATAGTGAGCCTGGATATTGTGCTATGATTGGCTGAATAGGTGTGATGTGACAGAAAGATGGTTCAGAGCCAGGTGTGGTAGCAATGCCTACAATCCCAGCACTTGGAAGTCAAAGGTAGGAGGACTGCTATGCATTTGAGGCCTTCCTTAAAAAAAAAAAAAAAAACCAAACAACAAACAAACAAAAGGAGATGGACTGCTTGCAGAATTCTTCAAGTTCACAAATTCTAAAGGACAGAATTCAACAGAACTGAAAATAGCAAAAGCCTGACATCTAACAATTCTCTTTGTTTGTGCAGCTTGGCTCTCTGCTGCTGAAATGAAGTTCCCAATTTGGTTAAGTTTATGCAGTCGTAGCTCAGCGAGGTTTCCAAAGCCCTGTTCCTTTTATGTTACTTGTCCACCTGGCCTATGGTAGATGAGAGAATGGATATCGTGGGGGAGAACTCCTGCCATCCTGGGTTGCTTATAGCTGTACTGAAAAGGTCGGATTGAGATGGCCCTTGACTCAGATATACAGGGCACTTATCCTGCCAGTACTTCAAAAGGCTGGTGGGCTAGCTAGGCCATAGTCTCAGAGAGGTCATGTGACTTATCCAGGGCTGCTGGGCCTTTGGAACTCGGGTTTGAGCTGGACTCTACTTGGCTTGGAGCTAACATCCTCTTCCTGATGCCCCCTTTTTCTGCACTGCTTGAGGGAGCCCCACTAGGGCCCAATGGAGTTAAAAAAAATACCTTTCAGCCAGATCCACACACAAAAGCATGATTTCCAGCCAAGCCAATTTAGTAAATTGATTCGTAAGCTCCTGTGCATTCCCAGAGTGCTCTGAAGGACACTTGAAATGCAGCTTTTGCTGGGAAAATGCTGTTTGGAGTGAAAGTCTGCTCCCATCTCCCCCCCCCCCCCTTTGATTTGAGTAGCAAATAACAGGGCCAGCACTGGCTGCATCTGTCTGCCTGTCAGTTACCCAGGGCAACAGGGGCGCTTCTTACCTGTCCAAACTCCTCCTTCAACCTTGGAGGTCTCAATATATTTTGCCAAAATAGTGTCACTTCATGTAGTGGCAGAAGATTTGAACATGTCAAGTAGAATGATGTCTACATGGAAGCTTTTTGGTTTAATCCACTCTGCTGGTGACTGCTGAGCTACAGTTAGGCTTTTAGATCAGCTTGGAGGGATCAAGGCCCACTCTGGTGTGAAAACTACAGAAGTGTGTTGTGCTCAGGGATCAGAGATGGCTCCTTAAACAGTTCCTGTCGTTTAGTCTTTGCTAGTTATCTTTAACTGAAGACATTTTTATTCTGTCTTCTGTGGCCCGTCTGTGAACTTTTCCTCTAGGTCTTCCCCCTCTGCCTTCATCTGAAGGCTGGGCCAATGTTAACAAGGGTGACCACAGGCCCTGGTCCCTGGTGCTCCTCAGGTGTGCCCTTGATGTTCACTTTCAGGTTAGAAGGAGCTCACACTCAGCAACAATAAAACTGTACATCTTGCATTATGCAATGCCTCTGTCTGTGATGTCTGAGAGCACCCTGTGGCCGTGCCTCTCCAATCCGCACAGAGGTCCTGGGAAGTGGGCAGATCCACTGAAGCATCTCATCTGGAGATTAAAGATCAGGCCAAACTGATAGCCTACTTTCTCCCGTATGAGAGCATCTTTGGCTAGCCCTCCATGTCTGTCTCAGGAAGGTTTTCTCTGCTCCCATTACCTTAATGAACGTGACAGCTGATGGCTGTGGGCCACTCTGTCCAGCAGAGCATCAGGCTGTAGCCTTCTGGGATTGGGGGAGTGTTGTCAGTCCAGACATCTATGGAAAACACTCCACAGGCCTCAAGAGGATCCATTAGAACAAATAAAATAAAAGCTTATTAATGGAGAGGCATAGGCAGTAAAGGAAAGGGCATGTCTAGTCACAAGCTAGAATTGAAAGATGAGTTATTGGAAACTTTAGTCGCTAGAGAGGTTTCTCACTGGGTAAGAGCACAGTTCTCTTGCAGAGGACCCGAATTTGGTTCCCAGCGCTCATGTCAGGTAGTTCACAACTGCCTGTAATTGCAGCTCCAGGAGGATCTGATGCCTTCTCTGGCCTCCACACGTGCATACCTGTACTCACATGCATATATATACTTACACATAGGCACACATCCATACACATAAATAAAAAAAAAATTTAAGCTTGGCGGTGGTGGTGCACGTCTTTAGTACCAGCACTTGGGAGACAGAGGCAGGTGGATCTCTGTGAATTTGAGACCAGCTTGGTCTACAAGAGCTAGTTCCAGGACAGGTTCCAAAGCCACAGAGAAACCCTGTCTCGAAAAACCAAAACAACAAAACAAAACAAAACTTTAAAGTACAGTCTTTGAACATCTATTTTCCACCCACACTCTGACACTCCCAACTATGAAAGCTTGCCCTTGAAAACAATGTCAAAACTTCACACAGGGTACACACCTGTCTGAAGGGGCTTGAGACAAGAGGATTACAAGTTCCATGTCAACCTGGGTTGTAGAGTGAGAAAATAAGATCCCTGTCTTAATTAAACTTTTTTTTTTTTAAAGAAAAGAACTAGACATTATATTAAAATAAGATATAAGCTTATAGGGTTCAGTTTAGGTTACTGGGATATAATGTTTAAATGCATATGGAATGAGGTTGACATTGAAAACTAATAAACTAAGTTATGTAGACTGAGGTTTAAGAAGGTTGCAAGCCAGTGGTTATGTCCTTACATGTATCAGCTCCTCTGCTAGGGCCAACGTGGAAGACCTTCCTCACTACAGATCTGCCCCTCTTCCTGAATGCCCTCAAATTAAAAGTCAGTTCCTATTTCTAAAACCTATTGTAAGGCCCTTCAGTGGAGTTGGGGAACTGACTAAACTTGTACTTTTCATATTGTACTAATACTGTCCAGTGATGTGAGCCGATGAGCTCTCCATCACTGCAAGGATTCAAACCATACATTTCTAATCCACACAGGGCAGGGGTTAAATAGACTTCCGTCCAATTAGTGAGAGTTTATTGTGGCTCCAAATAACAAAATTATTTGCTTTTGCTTTTTTTTTTTAATTTGTGTGTATGGTGCATGTGTATGTATGTGGGGTGCATGAGGAGGTCAGGAGTTTGTGTTAAGTGTCTTCCTCTGTGGTGCTCAACTTGATCTTTAGAGACATGGTCTCTCACTGAACCTGAAGCTCACCAGTTAGTTAGGCTGCCTGGCCAGTAAGCTCTGGGGATCCTCCTATCTTTACTCTCCCTAGTGGCTGGGGTTGCAGGCATGTTCTACCATGCCTACATGTTTGTTTGTTTTAAATGTGAGCGCTGAGGCTCTGAACTCAGAGGTTTTGTTTTTATTTTTTGTTTTTCTTTTGTTGTTGTTATTGTTTGCTTGCTTTATTTGTGACAGGGTTTTTCTGTATAACCCTGGCTATTTTGGAACTCACCTTGTTGATCAGGCTGACCTTGAACTCAGAGATTAACCTGCCTCTGCCTCCCAAGTTTTGGGATTAAAGGTGTGCACCACTATACTCAGCCCTAAACCTATTCTTAAGATATTATTTCATATTCAAAACTTTTTTATCTTCTTATTTCAAAGTCCACATCTAGGCTGTTCAGAGGTAGGATCCTACCAGGAGAACTTTAATGTGGCAGAATTGTTAGGAAGTGGCAGCAGCTCCTGTCCCTTATTGTCCCTCAGGTTCTCGATAGCCTGACAGTAGCTTTTTGGGACAACCAACCTCTGAGAGGCCTGTTATTTATGTCAG